ATGTCTCTCGCCCGTCACGCCATGACCCAGTTTCAACCACACGGCCATTTTGCAACAAGTGCGTGACCCTCGGCGTCACCCGACTGACTATATGATCGTTCTGTTCAACTGTTAAGCTAGGATTTATTACCGTTATTATCATTATATTGTCACATGATTTATTTTACCTTATGTGTAATGTCTTAAGTATCTTTATTGTAATTTGTATATACCAATTCGTATATACCGAGGAAACGACCCCGATTGAAGGTCATGTATTTTGTGACGTCACCAATTCGTGTGTAGGTACGGCTTCTAGATCCGTGCCGATAAAAAATAATTATCGAATTTTAATAACGATTTCCTTCAGTGGCCATTACTGTAAATGTGTATCCATCAACATTATTTGTAAGTGTCAAACTGTCATCTGTAAAATTACTTTTTCTCAGTACTTTTGACTCTCAGAGTTTATTATGAAAAAAGTTATCAACTAATGTATATCGATGTAAGTAAGAAATGAAAAACGAAAATATTTATAATCTTATCCACAATTGTACTCAGTATTGTTTTTTTGTTGCAATACCCAGTACCGGTATACTGATACATTTAGGAACGCCTTTGTTTCTAAAGATGTAAACGGGCACAAGAGGGCGGCAAACATAGACAACGTAAAACCTGACCATACTGTGCGTAGCCGCATATCCCTCAAAGCAGTGATACAATGACCTGGCAAAGGCTGCTTACCTTCACTTATGAATGTCGTGTGCAATCACAAGCAGTGAAAGGAAACATGTTATTTCGTTCTTCAATTTTCCCTCCGCTGAGCAAGGGCCCCCTATCCCCGCCGACATCAACACATTGTACATGCTGTATTTGCCAATATTCCAGTCTAAAAGTATTCATTTGAAAGAATTAACTGTAGAAAATTATTTTGATGACAACCATGCGGTTAATTTTATCGTTGGCTATTTGGTTGAGTCGTGATATTGCATGTAATTTGCGTAAGTCTGTTAGGGGTACTTTTCGTCTGATTCGTTGCATCAGATGCATTGTGGGTAACCAATCCGGCGGAAACATTCGAATTATTTTGCTGGGTAGTATTGGCCAAAATATAACAAGGACGGCAGTGGGGTGTACGTTTCTTTCCACTTTAGTATGCTTATTTTACCGTTTATATCCTGGAACAATTACGGTAAAATTAATTTTGAATAATGCGATATTAGTACCAATCGCGCGATGATAAACAAAATGTGGTATGAGAGGATTGCTGGCATAACACCCTCAAAAATGAAATGGTAAAGTCCACCACATGACGTAAGGAGGTAATACGGACTTCCTAAATTTCTGGAAGTGGTGCGTGTGGGAGAAAGTTCGGTAGAGGATTTTGCAGATTTGAGAATATCCGGCGAAAAATATACCATAGAGTTTATTCCAACAAAACCATTGATATTCATTATGGTGTTTTGGTTTGAACAATTTCACCAAGTGAGTATTTGGTCGTCACATGTTTTGCGCTCGGGAAACAGTGATTTCGCGTCGATCGTTCTATTGTTTTGAACAATAGAGTTGTTCTTCGAAGTGTGGTATGAACCGGGAATATATAGTGTTCGATGTCGTTTATCGCCAACCGCTTTATCATAATCGATGAAACTTTCAATGAACTAAAGTTCTAGTTAACTGGTTATCTGCAATGTATTGCGGCTACAGAGGACTGTGTCTATGACCTTGAGTTGTGAGCGATTTTCGTGATACAGTCGAAAGTGCTCTCCGTGCTGTCACGGTGTTTGTTTTTTGAACTGTAACAACAAACCACAACCTAAAACTTGACACGTAAAGCGTCTGTGATATTGAACTTGTGATAATTAAAAGATCGTGGATCTACAGAACCGACGCCAACTGGTCATCCTATTGCTTTCATTGGGATTGTGTTTGTAAACAGGCCCGGAAACGTGAAGCCGGGTTGCTACATGATCGGATGTGTCCCTTGCTTTCATGCTTGATTACTGGTTGGTGAATCATTTGTATTGTGATTCGAATCGTAAATATATTATTCTATACCGAAGTTGATTTAGAGAGACTCACGATGAGCATGACGATGGCGAACATTGATTCGTATGCACCGATGCCCTCCAACGGTACAAAACAAGAGGTAGTGAGTGTAGAAGGCTATGCAGGAGGAAAAACGCTCGCCTATCGCACGTCATCACGTGGAAAAAGCACTCAGAAATATCGTATGGTTGATCAGGATGGTCATTGCAACATATCCCACAATTCTCCCCGCAAGCAGAACTATCGATTTTTGGCGGACATATTCACTACACTTGTGGACATTAAATGGCGATATAACTTGACAGTGTTTACACTTGCATATGTCCTCAGTTGGCTCATCTTTGGTGCAGTTTGGTGGGTACTTGCTTTGCAACATGGAGACTTAGTTCCTGAAAACATTGAGAATCCTGAATGGAAGCCATGTGTTGTAAACGTTCATTCTTTTCCTACAGCTTTTTTGTTCTCCCTTGAAACCCAGACAACAATCGGTTATGGTTCTCGATCAGTTACTGAGGAATGTTGGGTTGGAATGTTGTTGGTTGTCTGTCAGTCAGTTGTCAGCTGTATTGTTGATGCAGTGATGGTTGGGATAGTTTTTGCCAAAATTGCTCGCCCAAAGAAGAGAGCTGAGACTTTGATTTTCAGTAAGAAGGCTGTTATTACTCTGCGAGATGGAAAACTCTGTTTGCTGCTCAGAATTGGAGATATTCGCAAAAGTCACATTTTGGAAGCTCATGTTCGCGGCGTTGTTATTCAAAAGCGTGTCACAAAAGAAGGCGAAGTCATCCCATTGTATCCGTATGATTTAGACGTTGGGTTTGATCGTGGTTGGGACAGAATATTTCTTGTGTGGCCGATAGTCGTGGAACACGTAATTGAGAAAGAAAGTCCCTTTTACGAAATGTCAGCTTCTGACCTTGAACATGGTGATTTTGAACTAGTTATAGTCTTAGAAGGCATTGTAGAAGCAACGGGAATGACAGTACAAAAACGTACTTCATACCTACCGCATGAGATCTTATGGGGATATCAGTTTGATCACCAGTTGGTTGCGCTGCATGATGACGATTACCATGTGAATTACTCTCATTTCAACACTGTTCATCAAGTGTCAACACCACGGTGTTCTGCTAAGCAACTTTACAATATGCGTGATGTTGGTGTTGGAGAAGGTGATAGTACCACAGGTCCTAATGGTAATATTCCCTTAACTACTTACAACGTGGAGTCAGAACTTTGACCATGAAAGCAATCAGATAGCAGGTAATGTTCTATCCCTTGCACCATGTGGGATGTCTGTCAGCCACAGCCTTTAATATCATGTATACTTCTGCCTAGTTCTTCTATGTTTCACAGCTCCACTTCTCCTACTGACTGATCAACCAGATTAGCTTTTAGGTCAGATCATTGACAACACACAAACTGCAGAAAACCCTTGAAAATTCATCAATTTTCACAGTATAAGTATAACTTGCTATCATATCTTTCCTCGTATCTTTGGCGCTGCGTTAACATTCTCTAAGGCATATGATAACCAGTTATCCTAATTTGTTTGCTTAAATCTAAGTACTGTTTCACTGACATTTTATTTCGCTATTTTGATGGTTTTGATTGTTAATTTACATGTTCATTTAATTTAGCAAATTTTACTTATCAGCGAAAATAGCAAAATTAAAACCTAGTGAATTAATGCATTTACAGTAGCTTAAATATTTTTCAAATGGTTAAATTTTGGTGTAAATATTTCAAATATGCATTAAGTTTGCAGAGAAAAAATTACTTTTATATAAATCATACTTTGATCAGCTAAAAAAAAATGTTTGGCTGACTGACACAAGGGAGTATGGATGTTCAGCATTGTGAATTTATTTATTGATTCAGGCGATAGTTTTCAAATCTGGCTAAATGGCTTGCACCAGTGAAACTGAGACAGTGTGTGTGTGTACGTACGTTTCACCATAGACAGAATAGATTATACATGTAGTTGGATATTAATTAATAACTAATTCCACTTACATTGTACATGTATGCAGAATAATTTTGTCTCCATTATACTGGGATGTTAGTAACAGTCTGTTACATTTGACCCAGAAGTATGCTAAGAGTTAAACAGAGAGGGTTTCTCTATGGTTTTGAGAGAAAATTGCTAAAAATTTGTGATTAATTAACCCTAATTTGTCAGCCCCATGTGCATTTACATTGAATTGACCACATAAGGGTTAAATCATTTTTTTTTTTTTTTTGCATTGGTGGTCAACTGTGGTTAAACAATATGAGGTTGTTACGAGGATACCTCAAAGAATGCACGAAGACAGTACAGCGGCAGTATCGACCGACGTGCAGCAGAGGTCAATGCGACGGCGTACTGTCTGAGTGCATACTTTGAGATATCCTCGTAATAACCTTATTAGTATACATCTTTTCCCTCCAAAATGTTTAGAACAGAATCAGTGAACTTCTTTGTGCGGAGTCCGGTCAAACTCTGGTGACAGTATTTGCTTTTATTATTAGAGGACGCTTGCACGTGTAATCATTCCATATTTGAAATTCACATTTCCTAATATAGTGGAATGAAAATACCTCATGAAAAAAACGCTGTAATTTATGGCATTAGGTAATATTCATTATTACATAGTGAAAATTTTAATAGATATTCAATTACTCAACATCATTAGCTAACATTGTTTTCTTAAAAATTAAAATACATGTTATAATGGGTGAACTTACTATGCCAGGCATTGTATATCCATCCCTGCAACAGGTGTTGTATCAAAAAGCCAATTCACTATTTTGTACATGTACTACATGTACTTTAATCAAATTACAAGTATTCTGTGGAGTAGCCAAAAATCCTACTTTGGAAATCTAATCAGTCAATTGTCAAATTAGCTTATATCGAATCGCTCTCCCTTCACTGATACTAAATCCCCAGTCCTTACATGGCCTTCCTATATATATCCAGATTAATATTAATCTTAGTTCCGTTTTAGATAATCCTATGACTCTATTACCAAGGTAATGCATATTTAGTTCATAAAGCACTTATAATAGCCTCTAAATAAAGAAAAAATGTTTCAATTCAAAAATTACTGACAACTATTAAATTCACTACGTTCAATTACCCACCATAGACTCGGGCCAGTCAAACCCTCGCCTAATTTTTTGCTATTTTAATTATTTGTGTAATAAAGATATTTCAAAATATCTAGAGCTAAATAGTTGTCTTTAAAAGTTTAATTTTTCAGACCTTGTTGAAATCACAAATTAATTGTTAACACTGATTTCAAATTATTAACCGATTAAATATGAACTTTTTATAGACAATATACATCCCACAAACATTTTTAGAAGATTTAATTAAATATCAAGTACTTCCTGTGAATAGCATACCTGGCACTATGATTGAATGGTTAATATTAAGTTAGTCATTAAGTTTCAAAGATATGTGTATAAAACAATCATTTATTAACTATATTGAATACTTATGTTTGAAGCATTAGCCTAATTCCTGCTTGTGAATAAATTGAGAATAAATTCAATAATTTAAAAAAGAAAAAAAGTAAAGTATTACAAATTTACTAATTTGCTTTCACCCAACAGTGTGTTTTCCCCCGCATCAAAGTATGGTAAGCTTGTCGTTTTTAGCTTCCAGGCCACCATACTTGCTTACCATAATAGGAATCAGGATGCATTGTTTACATTCATAATTACAACTAACAATTATGTCTTGTCCACTGTAATAGTTGAACTAATAGTAATACAGAGAAATGGTTCCTTGGGCTGCCCCTAACCAGCCACCTGGTGTAATTGTATATGCCCCTCCAGATACATGTACAGGTTCTGAAGAGGGGTTTGTATAATATAAATGGGTGAGGGGCAGGTTTAGGATTAGTTATGAATGAGTGAGCCCTAAGGAAATCTTACTGCTAACTATTGTAGAGAGAGAAATATTACTGTTTAATATTAGTGGATTTGAAGTTGCAGAGACTTATACTAGGTTTTAAAAATCACTGGTTTGCGATGGAGGCAATACACTATTGTTGAATTAGAATATTTACCAGTTTTTAATTTAGTTGTCGGTAAAATGGGTGAAAAGTGTGGATTATCAGGATAAATGAATGGCCTGAACAAAAGGTCACATAAGGGTGGTATAACAACACTCAAATAATCCGCTTTCTTTCAATTTGTTTGCATGCATTTGAAATCTGGTGAAATCAAGGTCAAATTATGGTCACTTTAGTAGTTATTTTTAGGTATGCACGATTTTGGTGGCATGCTTTGATTGTGGCCCTATCAGGTTCACCAGCAACCCCAAAATAGTCTATTGTGAAATGCCTGTGTAAGCACAGCACCAATTACCTTGCTTGAATTGTCAAAAAAACTATCCATTGTTATGCTTTGAACCACTATTGATCATGTGACCAAATTCTCTGACCATATCCCCTTTCCCCTGTTACTTGCCAACTACTAGTTGCCCTTGTTGATTTTTGGGTCATTTTATGTAATACTGTAGAATACTTTATTTATTTTTATGTAATACTGTAGAATACACATGTACTTTATTTATTTTTATATAATACTGTAGAATACTTTATTTATTTTTGCCATTTTCGCTGAAGGGATGATTCCGTGAAAATAAAATCCCGCGAATATACTTTTTTTCCTATATTTCACATTAAACTCATCAAAAATCAGTGAAAATAAATTCCATACAAAACGCCTTTTCAGCGAAAATTAATTCCAGCAAAAATAAAGTATTCCACAGTAAATATAAACATACTTAAGTGGTACTTGTGAAACTGGTAGTTTGAAGATCAAAGCCTGAATGAGACACGGATTATCAAATTACTAGCAGTCAGCTTTTATTTCAATTACAAGTGTCTTATTATACTACATGTATATCCCAAAATTGATGTAGGTTAGAGTGGATTGTATTATTATATTCACATACATGTTAGTTGCAGAATTCCTGACGCTCGTACATTACTCCAAATGCTTATTAGTAGCAAATGCCCTTACCTAGTAAATGACAGGGGTGTACCTATGGTTGAATTATCTAGTATGTATACTAAGGACTCCCACAGACTCATACTAGATTTCCTCTTACAGTATGTAGACATTTTTATCTGCAACCATGTTTGAGATGACTGTAATTATTGTACTGGTATTTTAACGATACATAATGTGTTGCCAGACACACATGCAGTGCTCTCCCAAGATTTTGGACAACATGGCTGCTTATTTGCACATTGATAGTGCCATATTTTAATATTAATAAGTTTAATATAGAACAATAGCCTTCTTGAGCAGAAGAATAACTTCTGTTTTCTTGAAAAAGTTTGGGGACAGTAAAATCACTGCTCAAAGATGCATCGACAGAAAGAGCACTTGATGTCATATCAGCGTGTCATCCAATCCAATATGGCCCAATACCACTAATAGGTTTCTGTATGAATAAGACTTCAAAGGTTTTTAGCTCTAAATATTGACAGCGACATCTTCATTCTTTTCAATAACCATAACACAAGCCTGCACACATCTAACAATGGAGTTAGCAGGTGTGTACATTGGTATCATGAATAACAATTATAAAGGGCTTGAAATTTCTGAAACTTGTTGGGCTACCAATTTGTAGATTAATCCATCATGTTTAGTAGGTACTTAAAGCCATGTCAGAGACCAGAAAGTGTGATCACAAATAAATAAATGTCACATTGCATAACTTGTGTAGGAAACCCATAACTTTGAATACATACTGCTTAATGTAAAAACAAGGTGTCATTTTTTGTGGTTGTAAATTTCCTGTAGTCTACCAGAAAAAATGGTAACCCTATCACTGTGTTGTGGGCTACTCTTAATTTTGAGCCCTGATTATGTTGTGTATAGTGTTCTGTTCTATAGTTAATATTCTGTGCCATATATATATATACTAAAAAAGAAAATAGCAGTTGAAGCTAAATTTCAAGCAAATATTGAATATAATTTTGCATTAAAATTGTGTACTTAATAGTTTCCCCAAATCCAGTCACCTGCAGTGTGTGAACTTAATAAAAAAAAGATTTCTATTGAGTTATTTTTCCTGTCTACGCCCCTTCCTGTTAGTTTAAGAACAAAGATTTTTTTTTCAAATTAATTCTTTTCATGCTTTCAAGTAGTAAGAAGAAGAAATCTTTTCACTGCATGGTGATACACTACAATTCATTGCATAAATAGTTGTATTGGGAGCTTCCTAGAAGATGCTCACCATATACAACAGGCAGAGTACTAGTATTACATGCTGACTAATCACTTGAAATAACAAGACCCTCCCCCCCCTCCCCCCAAATGCATTTAAAGGTATTGATAGTAACATGTCAAAACAGAAATACAATATGTGGCTTTTGGGCTTCAGAGTCACTGACCCAAGACCAAAACAGATCCAATTTCAATAAGGTAATATCTTACAAAAATTCAACATAATTTACTTTATTATTTCCCATATTTTAAGTCATATAGTTTTTGATCACAACTTCCTGTACTTTTTATGTGTCTGATTTGTTCTTGCAATTGTTTTTCACATACCTGTCCAAACAATACTGCCCATTCAAACTGGATAAGACTATTGTGTTGATTCTTATTGTTAAAATCTGTTTAGGACACACCACTCACGGAAATAAAGCAATGGTAAACTAGGGTTAGGTAATAAACATCTATTATTGTGACGACGATTTGAGTTGAAATAAAAATCCAATAAAAAAAACCTTGCTTTAAAATAAATGCAATGGTGTGGAAATAATACATGTATTCAAATTCAAAAGAGTTCATGAACCCATTTTGATGAACATGTTTCATCAAGTTTTACTCACTTAAAGATGGGGCTGCAACTTAACAGTAATGTTTTCTGAAAGTCTGTCCTAAACAAAATATCAAAAAACCTAAAATATCAAACATTTTTGGTTATTTAGTCAAAAATTGGTATTTTATTGGTACATGCACTATGTAAGACCCAGTTTTGAAACATGTTTGAAAAAAAAAAACATGTAATCATGATCACATTAAAGACATTGAAAATGCACAATTTTTTTTACAAAACAAGAAAGTGAAAGTCTTGACTGTACGATACCAGTGGAGCTGTGGTACACAGTCACGTCTTAGTCACCTAGGCTAGCACTATGAAAGGTCCATTTGATTATGTTATTAATAATTAATTCTATATGGTTATTGATGTATGATGTCAGTTATTCATTTCATAACTAATTATTGCCATTATCTTTATTATCCACTTCTCAGTCTCAAATATATTATTTGTATTCCTGTCTGTCTGACTGACTGCAAACTGACTATTAAACTGCTTTCGTGAGCAGTCAAAATTACAACTTAGTCACTGGTTTTTTTTATACAATGATAGCAGTGAGTTTCGTACTACATGTATGTCGTTCCAATGAATGCAATATAGTTGCACAATAATCCAGGACTTGACATCAAAAATTAAAATGTTTAAAAATGTTATATATTACTGGCCATATCGGGTGAGCCCAGTTAGTGCGAGGTAAAATGTTTGTATTTGGGTGGTATTACTTCATATTACATGCCTCTCATATGAATTTTACTTGCAAAATAATCACAAATATCTACAGTTTTCAAAACCTATCCGGAACTTGAACAAGTGCCACCATCTTGAATAGGTGTTCTCTGTGGAAACAATCAATACTAGCACATGCTTTACTGGACTGCAAAATACCCCAGATGTTCTATTTTAAACCATGCATCAAATTTGCACGAAATTTTACAATTCTGTAAATTATTTTTATTTGTCTTAATAAAAATGAGTTCATATTTTCACACAAATAATTACCATAACTTTCATAGTTGCTATAAAAATTAGCACAACTTTATGCACTTCAAAATAGTCAAGTGACAATCTCGAGACATTTTTTGGTCTTGAAATCTGTAATCCCGAAAATGCCAAAGCTCAAGCCCAGCAAACAAGTAAAGCTTTCTTATACAATAAATTGTTAAATCTCAGCTGACAGATGTTTTCATGTTTTGATAAATTTCCACTGTTAGAAAATGTCTGATTTTTCCAATTTTGAGAAAATTCATCTTATATGCAGTATTTAAACCACAGAGTTGCCTATATTTAGCTAGACTTCCACACAGCTGTTTACCATTCTATTGGTGACAGGCTTACAATAAGCATAAAATACTTGTTGAGCTTTTGATTCCATTGATAGTGTCACAGCATAGGAATACTGACTTTGTGGGTTGCATTGAAAATCTTTGTCTTTATATCAACTCACATAAAGTCTTGTCAGTTTTCAATATGTGTATTATGACTTGCTGATTGTGTTCAATCATTATTGACAGTTACTCTGTCAAGACAACAAAATATGTTTCCATAGAAACCACGTGTTAGTATGCGGCTTATACTGTATTTAATCTCCTATACAACTTGTGACATCAAAAAAAAAACAATACGTTATGGTCAATACTCGTATAGTCTCCCAAAAAACCTTTCAAATCTGGAAGTTTATGGATTAAATTTTGGTTTGATATCATATGCCAGGATTCAGAATTAATGCAGATTGTGTTTACGCAATCTTATTTAAAATAAAACTTTATAGAAAAACATTCCTCTGGTACCTTGTTGATAGTTTATACAGACAGTCGATAAATATTTAGTATGCTGGAAACATCACTGCATTCAATATCTCAGATTGTATAAACCTTATTACTGATTGTCACCAATGCCTCCTAAATTGTGTTAATTGTACAAATGCAGCCAAGCGTCAATAAGCAATCAATATATACACAGTAATTTTCACACAGTAACTATTCTATTGCAATGTTATTAAAATTATTGCTAGTACTCTCTCATTGTTATATGCTGTGAATATGCTGCGGCCAAATCTAAACTCGCATTCATGTTCCCTAATAGGTGATTTTCTGTTCAACTGCGAGATCTCGCGAGATGCAGGAAAGACGTGCGTTGAACGTCTGCCGCAAAAATCGAACAATTTGATTTTGAACTTGAATTTCTTTTATTCGTAGCTCACATCAACCGGCCAATGTTTGACAGAGGAATATTGCTTTTGAATACCCTCACCTAATCAAAATTGTCTATCATCAAATGTGTACAGCAAATTATTAAGCATGGAAATGCCCCCAAAATATTTTCGCGAATCCCACGCGACGTTTGAAGCCACTACGCTATGACCTTTGTTTGTCCAGTATTTACATACATATCGTGTGATTCTCGCAGTAAATGGTCTATAGGCTGGCTAGCACATTGGATTGTGGGAAAATCACTATTTATCAACACAAATCTCGCACATACATCGCACAGTGACCACCATGTCTTACAACCCAGTCCCAAGATATGATACCAATGGTCTGTGTTTTATGCCCTCTGGATTTGTGTTATTTTCTTTCATTGAATTCTAAATCTTAAGTCTATTTGTTCCATATAACTATTTTATAATTATTTGTTTTATTTTCGCTTATTCCACTGACAATTACAACCCTGTGACTATTTACATTTAACAATAGAAGTTATTATTTCCGTTACAAAGCAGTAAATTTAAAACCGAGAGAATATAATTGCAACAATCAAACTGTTACAGTTAAACCCAGTGAATATTTTCCGATTCACAGAAATTTGGAAAATGACTTAAACACAAGAATAAAAAATGATGGTATACATATACATGTACGCAACCTCTAAAATTTTGTGAAAGACAATGGTAAAGTTTTAAAATAGTTTTAAAATAGTGAACATTTCACTTCAATTCATGGGTGCCCTCAAATCATCAAGCTGAGATTATGACGTACATGTGTATGTAACATTTTGCATATCTAACAGTTGCTATGATAAGCTTTCTTACATGTATACACTTTTAGTTCAAAGTTGCAATCGTCTTAGAACAATTTGGTTTTCTAAATAGTTCATTTTGCTACATGTTGTGCTCCAAAACAGCCAGAGAGTACTAATAATATAATTTAATTAATTTCACTATTTGTTGTTCCAATTACTAGGTGCTATACATCGATATGACAGACACAAAGAGGTGTGGTGTTAAATGAAGATGAGGTGTTTGTAGATATGTGAAGAAATTGACAACCATATTGGTTGCATCATCTTCGCCAAGGTGCCTGAAGTATATAGACCTTACTTTCTACAGAGAGTGATCACTCCACTAGTCTAAATCAAGGTCCAGAAGAGCAAATTATTACCCCTAATTCATATCATTTTGAAGAGATTTTAATAGCGTAGCTTGTCACAAGGCATTAACTTGTTCAAAAGCACCATTTTAAGCTTCCAGACCATTATCAAAAGGCAAAAAAGTAGTATAGTATTTTTCTGTTTTGTTTTTGTTTTTTTAGAAGCAGTCATGCATGAAGTGAATTACAGCCTGCCTGGCAGTAAAACTGTGTGAAATGTCAATAAATGAGATCGGATTTCTATTCACTAACTTTCAGCCTTAGGGGAGGAACAAACTTTTCTTAGTTGCAGCAATTTACTGGTAGTTATCAAGACTGAGCTTAGGTAGAGATAAATTACCATTTCGCCCCTATCATAATGGCTGTTGTGTGCATAAGATGTTGACAACCAGCTATTTTTTATGGCGAGACAATAAAAGCAATATGTCCACGTTTGTTTTGCTACATTCAAAAAATATGCAAGGACAAAATAACTGTAAATTTTCACTTTTATATGATTATTTTAAAAATCTGAAATTATATTGGGCATGCCTCACATATTATACTTAATGTGTTATATAGGCTTACAACGCAATAGTCCAATGGGTATTCTATGCAAAACATTACTGATTGTTGTGATTATCAGGAAAAATGAAGAAATCAGTTGGTATGGCAACAAATCATGAAATATTAAATATTAATAAATATTAATCTCCAAATCAAATGTAAGGTTATTTTATTTTAAAAGATTTTTCTAAATTTGATTTTAGGATTCTGATGGATATTTAAATTTATCATGAACCGTACATAAATCTAAAGCTCTTTTGATGTTTTCTAAAGATCACATAAGTGCCCATAATGCATTATTGAAACAGTACATTTATTCCGGCCCAAAATGAAACACATTTGGACTACAATAAATTTACTCAGATCCTGGAGATGTGTTGCAATGACCAGCTCTTGTACTATATTGAATAACTACATGTACGCTAATTAAATCCTTTCTCAGTCTTTAGACTTATATTAATACCATCTTGTAGCAATTCATGAACTCGCATACTTGGTTCAGTGCCACACATTGCACCTGTGATGATTAATTCTGAATTTCTGATAAAAATAGGTTAATTGGCATGTAGGATTATAAATGTACTACCCTAGTAATATTAGGTTTACATGGCAGCATTTTTGTCAGAGACGAACCATTCCTCCTCTCACCAATTAACAGAAGATTCTCTCTTGTTTACGGTTGTAAACGTGGCCAGACATCTGCTGGTTCGTTTAGTGTAGAGCTGGAACAGTGTCCTTGACATGGGATTCTCTTTTTAGAGTTCAAATCCAGGGATTTATTGGAGTCGAACTTGACTTGAGCTGTGCATGTTTACACATTTTTGCGGCTCAAGCTCATGGTTTCTAATAAAATGCTGTTGTGTAAACGAAACAATAATCTATGCTGACTACTGCTTGGACAACATTTTTTAGATCTCTAGGCATATGTCTAGTTTTACTTGTTATGTTATTGATAAATAATATGCCAACTATGTAATTGACCATTTATACTGATTTTTATGCAGTCTATATATAGTGCCCACCTGTTGGTGAAGAAATGTCCCAAGTGTTATGTGATACACACCCCCCCCCCCCCAATCTGGTCTCATCTACACTCTTGGGAAAGATGAGGCACTCCATTAGTGTGATATTGAATTTATGTCTAAATATACAGCTGACAAAACTTGCCATGATTAATCACCTGCCAGTTAATGTTTTCAGTGTTTACTGCAAAAACTTGTATCTCATTCAAATTATCAATGATTTATTCACAAAATAGAATCCTAATGTTCTTTGAACAGTGCTTATGTCTTCCAGTTATAGTGTACTTGCAGTTTACTTTAAAATATACATGTATGCCAACAAAAATAATTTCTTCACCAGTTAATGATGTATTTTTTGTTTTTGTTGTGTGAACTTTTTAATCAAAATTAAAGAGGTAATTCATATCTTTCCGATTTGTTATGCAAATGTTTTGTAAATTTTTGAAATGATTATTTTTTTACCAATTTTATAAGCAAATTGAACATTTTTTATACTGGAGATTATTTTTGTAAATGACTTTGATTTATTTTGCTGTGTTGATTGTAGGTAATCCAGTAGAGTAAACAATACTTGCATACTATGATATCCGTGTCCATACTATTATTGAAAATATCATTGTATTCCTTTCACAGGTGAAGTCTTTCATTTTTTTTTCCAATAAATACCAAGTTTTGAGTTGTTGCTGGGCTATCCAGTGTGTTGATTTGACAACACATACCTCTAGCCAGGCCAAGTATTAAAGGAACACTCAGAACAGCACCTGTTCTATTGTTGTGAAGGAAATCGTCACTGTAATTAGTAGTTTGAAGTCAGATAACTTGTGTACTAGTTTCCAGAACACAGAGCATAATTGTATTTGAGCCACTCTTGTATTGTAGTATTAAGATGCATTGCTGTACTTGCACATACATATTTCAGGGTTGGACCAATATCAAATCTTGGGTGGCTACAATCATAGTACTAAATTTGCACAGTTACTTGGCTAACCCTATTGCATATGATGGTTCACCCCTTAAAGATGATTTTAGTCTTCGGAAATATTGTAGTACCTTAGTTTTTTTTTTGTATTTATCAATCCCTGTTATGTCTGAATTGTCTTTTTTTTTTTTGTCAGTTCTGGATTATTACTATAAAAAGCAAGCCATTTAGCAGTTTAACTTAATTTTTTAGAGCTAACTTTGTTCAGTTTCCTGAATTTGAAGCTTGGATAAACAATGAAACTGCCTTCATGCATTAATGCAATTTGTAACACTGCTTAAATGTATATTTTCATGGTTCTATGTGTAGCTTCGTGCTTTGGATATACTATAACCAAATAACAGCTCGTGTGATTATTTGCTACTGCCATATTATAGATTTTATATATTTGGATGTATATTTCAAAGGTAAATACTATAAAAATGTTTTCTTTATTCTTGATTTATTCATAGTAGTTTTTAGTTGTGTATTTTTTTGTTTGATGGTTCACTAAATAAAGTATTTTATGCTTGGTTTGTGGTATTTTTGTCTAGAAGTTGCATCATTTCATTTACAATACCAAAAGCTGTCTGCAGTAATTTCAGCAATTTTTGTTTATATTTGGAAAAAGAAATTTAATACTATCGCATTTATATTGGTCTAATCAAATAATTGAGCAACGAGTTGGTGATTTTTTTTCACCAAATTAAAGCATATACTTTCAAAAATTAAATATTACTTGCCCTCGTAAGTTTTTTTTTATCAACAAACAGATGGCATGGCACTGTTGCTATGCAGCACACCTTAAGGTGGTTGGCTAGCATTGTAACTTATTGATTTCCTTAACTTGAATTATGTTTTTGCCCCATAAATACAGAAAAAAAATGTTTGGTAATCGACCTACTTTTCGCACAAACAAATTTTCAAAACGCCCTTAAAAATGGTGATTTTTAGGCCATTTATTATATTGTTTCTATGGAAAAAAGTTGCGTTGTCTCAAAACTTCGTTCAGGTACACATAATGAAGAAATATAAAATCGTTTTTTGTAGTTGTCCATACTATTTATTTTTTCAAAAAACTAACATTTTTGCATATTTTCTGAAAAGTTGTTGTGTCTATATTGACAACTACTAGTATATAACACTTTTGAAACATAATGCAATATTTTTTTTTTACTTAATAGGTTGAACGTCCATGAACAACCTTAACTTCTGCATGTGTCTCACAATAACACTGCCCTGTCAGGGGAGCATAGAAACAATAAACAACCAAATTATGTTTATGTTTATTATCTACTCTAAAGCTGAAGTGCACTGACCAAAAAAAACTAAACCCAGTCAACCAAAATGTCAGTTCAGGTTTGAAAAGCCAAGTTTATTTGTATATACTGACTTGGGTATATAAGCCAGATATTCAAAACCTACGACTTAGCCACTGCAAAGTTGAGACTGCATGTGATATCAATAACAGAATTTCTCAGAGTATTGTCCCCCCCCCTCCCTCTTTCACCTATTAGCTTGATGGCTCAATAATTTTACTTGATTACACTTTATACAATGATATCACTAACTGCGATTTACACACAGTTGGTTGCATCTCTATAAGCCTTATATAAATAGTCATTATTCCACAACGTCTACAAACATTTTCTTTTAATACAGTGATAGCAATACAAAAGTTGCATGTGAGTACATCATATACATGTACCCAATTTGTTGGATGATAATATTTGAGGTTTATTGTAAAATTCACATTAAAAGCAGAATCCCTAATAAAAGCCACACCCATTCTTTTTGAGCAATAGAGGACCAAAAAAGTCACCATTTCTCATAGGTGAAAATCCTCAAATGGAAGCCACAACTTCTAATACAGAATCTGCAGTATATCATGTCACAGTCCCTCAGGGTGTTGAGGGGCTGGGATCATGTTCATGCTAAACACTTAGAAAAAGCATACTGATACATTTTGTGAAAGCTAATGGTGAAATGACTTTGATGGTACCAAGATTGACGCAGACCCCAAATGGAATATACATGGGCCAGTCAAATGCTAGGATCTACATGTGCTAAGCATGCATGCATATGCAAACAACATTTAAACAGAAATTCATTTCCAGCAGTTTACATACCATTATCATAAATACATGTGACATGACATACACTGTAAAATACTTTATTTTCGCTTGGAATTCATTTTTGCTATTTTCGCTAAAGGAATGATTCATTGAAAATAAAATCCAGCGAATATACCTTTTTTCCTATATTTTAAATTCAACTTGTCAAAAATTAGTGAAAATCAATTCCATCTAGAACATTCAAAAAGTCTTTTCAGTGAAAATTAATTCCAGCTAAAATAAAGTATTTTACAGTACTCTGTGTTTACCGGTAATTTACAAACAAAAAACTCATAACTCTTTGAATACTGTTAAACATTTCATTTTAGCTGGAATTAATTTTCACTGTTTTGTATAAAGTTTATTTTCACTGATTTGCATTGAGTTGGATGTAAACTATAAAAGAAACAGTATTTTTGCTGGATTTTATTTTCATTGTTCATTACTTCAGTGAAAATAAATTCCAAGTAATTTATGCATAAAGTAATTTACAGTAAAATATTTGCTCTGTTAGATGCACAGCTAAAATAGAAGTGCATGTACAAAGAGAAAATTACCAGTACAGTAACATTTTCAAATCAGCATAAGTTTAATTTACACAAGTACAGGTACATCATACTAGGTCATTATTTTTAAAATCTG